GCTGAAAAATATGTATGGTTTTGAACAAATAGTACAGGACGATGTCCACACCGCCCTGGACGATCAAAAAATTCAAGGCTTCTAATCGTCCAGCCCTCTCAAATCGTCCTAGCCAAAAGGGTTAAAAATACAATGATCATGCATGTCGATCTTTGACGGCAAGTTGCAAATTAGGGCAAATTTTAAGCCCTTCTTTATAAAATCTCTTATTTATTCAAGAGATCTTTTGCTGATGTCCTGACCCGATAGAGCTAAGAGAAGGAGAGGGAGAGCTTGGGAGAGAGAGAGAGGATCTTGTGAAGGGGTGTTTATTAGGGGTTCACAAAGGTTGCTCCAAGAAATGATCCTAGTCATTTTCTCCAGTCATCGTCCCTGGTTCCTTGGAGGCTCTAGGGAGGTCTTCTTCAGCAATTAATCAAGGTTCTCTGTCTGGTTCAAGAGGAAGGAAAAGGAGGTCGGGTTCTCTGCCTCATCGGGGTCGATGGAAAAGAGTTTGTAAAGACTTCTTCGTCTTGCTCTGGGAGCAAAAGGAGAGTCACTATGTTTTAGTGCAATACCCAGAGGAGAGGCTCCGAGGATTGGATGTAGGTCATGTTGACTGAACCATTATAAAATTTGGTGTACTCTTTCTTATTATGTTTTTGCATTTTAATTTTCGCACTTCATTTTCATGTGGATGACCATATGGTTTAATGTTTTAAAATATTTTAAAAAGATATTGTTTTTGTTTAAGAATATTTAAAATGACCAATTAACCCCCTCTCCCTTGGTTAGCCTCGGGCAAGTTTATAAGGGCTTAACAACCCTAATGAACTTTCAGCCATTGCTTCATGCGAAAGAATCGTCTGCGACTCCTCTACTCTCCAGCTTTCACTTTGATGGCGAGATCCTCCACCTAATTGTGTAATTTGAAATCATTACACGATCGTCGTCCACGACTCAACTCCGCTTAAGCATGCCATATCTAGATCAGATCCACCCGCACTGCACCGCCGCTCGTTCCAATTCCGCCTCTGACTCCTCTCGCCACCATACCTACGATCTTTATCCACTCTCACTCCACTCATTCAAACCCAAACGCACTCCCTCGTTCGTTTGGATTGCACTCTAGCTCCCACTCCCACGCGACCACTCATCCTGAGTCGTCCTACTTCGCCCATGTTTCTGATTCGACTCGGAAGCTTGCCTGTCTACCTCCGTACGCACGAACCGATCCACTACATCTTTTTTGCGAATTAGAAAGTTCCCCCTTATGTCCAAGAGTAGACTCATGCAAAAGTTGGTGGCTGCTGCTAGTGAAGAAAGCATTGATGAGATTCATATGCCTGATATTCCTGGGGAGCCTGCTTCCATTGAAATATGTTCTATGTTTTGTTATGGCATTGTTGTTACCCTCAATGCTTACAATGTGGTCAACAGTCCGTTGTGTGGCAGAGTACCTCGAATGTTTGAGACAGTAGAGAAAGGAAATCTCATTTACAAGATTGAAGTCTTCCTGAGCACCATCATGTTTCGCGGCAGGAGAGACTCCATCATAGTTCTTGAGAGTACTAGATCTCTGTTACCATGTTCTGATGACTTGAAGTTAGTAAGTCACTGCACTGCATAGACTCAATAGCATTAAAGGTTTGCATGGATATTTCTAAGGTGAACTGGTCATACACCTACAGCCGAAAGAGATTCACATCTGAAAATGATCATACCAGACAGCAATTGGTGCCGAAGGACTGATTGATTGAGGACTTATGTGAGCTTCATCTAGATTTATATTCGAGGGTCTTATTAACCATGAAAGCTAAGGAGAGAGTGCCAGAAAAGGTGATTGGAGAAGCACAAAGAGCTTACGCCTATCGAAAACTACCGGGATTTGGCAAAGGCAGTGTGACCGAAAGGAACAATGAAATGAAAAGTGAGTCGATTTTAAAGGCTATTGTCGGGATATTACCATCAGAGAAAGGTTCCATTTCATGTAGTTTCCTGCTCAAACTACAAGAAAGTGCAAGAATGCTGCATTTCTGTGAGAATATTAAGAGAGATCTGGTGAAGAAGATGGGGAGACAGTTAGATGAAGCACATCTATCTGATCTCTTGTTTCCTGCTAATGGAGAGGAAAACGCAATGTATGATGATGAAAAGTTCAATAGCATAGTGAAGGAGTTTGTAATGATTGAGAGACAGCAACCAGCTCTTGTTTTTTATAGCACAAAGATAGATGTTGGGAAATTGGTTGATGGATATCTTATGCGGGAAATTGGTATAGCTGGTTGATATTCCTGAAACAATCCGAAGATTTTGAAAAAGCTCTTGATTTGGGACAAAATAAATGTTTTGTTGCTGTCATTGTAGATGAGCTCCCTTATGTTAAACTGTTCTTGTCAACCTATTGCAAGTATAGGATCATTGGTTAAGAATTCACGAAAAGTGGATGGTTTGGTGTGATTTGTAGTCAACTGGGGGAAATTGTGGCTCTTAATTTCACAAACCAGCTTCTTGAGGGGGTTTTTGCTATGGAGATTGCCAATATACCTTGGCTGACAAAGGTGATCTTAAACAACAATAATCTCACCAGCATCATTCCAAATTCAATTGCCACTTTGCACCAATTATAACTGCCTGATGTTTCTCATAACCATCTCATTGGGTGATCTACGGTTAGATCGATAAAATATGGCAATAAGAGTATTCATCGAAGACATAAAATCTTTGATCCAGGAGAGTTATCCATATTTTATACACCTGCCCACATAGATTACTACTATATTGACGGAGACGAGCCTTTTTTATGCAAGGGGAGTATGATTTGGAACATCATTAGCAAAATAAACCCTTAGGACTAGCATAACGTTTATTACAAGTTTTCTTTTTTAAGTTTTCTAGAATATTCTACTGCACTTACATATACTAGTTGTAAGAAAATATATTGATGAATTATATACTCTTTAAAACTTAGAGCTTGTGTTGTTCCCTATATTGATAATTTATTCTAACATAATTGATTCTTCTACCGACCCACTACATCAATTTTTTAATATAACTTATGAAGATTCTAATGAATGTTTTCAAAAGATGTCTTAAAATATATTTTTTTCATAGCAAAATTTTAATATAAAATATGTGAAAAGTAAACATATTGGAGAAAACATTTGAAAAATAGAAGGCATATAATTAATAGAATCAATATTAAGAATATGATACTATTTTTAATTACAATATTATTTATTTTCAAATAATATTATTTGAAGAAAAATGACACTTAAGTGTGATATGATTTTATTTTAGATCTCTTACATAGAAAATTAATAATATAGATGCTTTAGAATCAAAGCTCAATGACTAAAATTAAAAAGATGGATTTAAGTATATACCATAAAATTTACATATATTTATATTTATATATCTAACACCTAAATTTTTATATTTTCTTACATAACACTCAATTATTCAACTCATATAAAAATATCATTACTATTAATTTATTAAAATAAAACACATTTTTTTGTGCACATGCTTTGATGTGATTTACACATAAAAGTGATACATAAAAAATATAAATATTTAAGTATTAAATATATACATAAAACCTTTTTGATTTATAGATAAATCCCTCAATAAAAAATTTCTCAAGAGTGTTATGCATTAAGCAAATGTCATAGAGATTTAAGCTTCGTTTGGGATGGCTTTCTTATTGCTTATTAAACCAGCTTTTTAGTATAAAACTTAAATTTTTTTATTAGAAAGCTACTTTAAGAAACATTAAGAAAGCCGTCCCAAATGAAGACTTAGGCTTCGTTTGGGACGGCTTTTTTATTGCTTTCTAAAACGGAGTTTTAGTACAAAATTTTTTAATTTTGTATTAAAACTCCGTTTTAGAAAGCAATAAAAAAGCCGTCCCAAACGAAATCTTAGACTTAGTTTGGGACAGCTTTCTTATTCTTTTTTAAAATAGTTTTCTAGTAAAAAAACTTTTTGAACTAAAAATTTTGTGTTAAAAATTTGCTTCATAAAATATTAGGAAAGTTGTCCCAAATAAAATCTTAAAAGGTAAATTTATCAAAGTAAAAAATTTATAAAATTTGCCTCAAATTCAGGGGATAAAACTAATATCGATAATTATATTTGTATGATAGTTCAAATCATATACAATGTAGCTGGAAACATCAATTCGAACATCAATGGCAAAGTGTCTATTTCGAGTAAAATACTAAAAAAGAGAATGGCCGAGTTGTTGCTCAACATTTGCTCACTACCATTCACTCTACATTTTAGCATGATACAGGCTCTCAAACTAAGAACAATCAAATTTCACAATTAAAACATGTAGGCAAACCATTGGGTAAGAAATTTTTGAAGTAAAAAAAAATTAAAATTAAAATATTTTTTTATTAAAAATAAAAATATAGAATAAAATATTTAAATATATAAAACTTATTATCTAATTCATTTTTGATATATTTTAAAATTATTAAAATTTGGCTAATTTTCAAGTTTACTAAAAAGTATTTATGAGCACCATAGAATTTTTATTGGGTCAGGTAACCTGATGTAGAGATATATCAGGTACCCAATAAAAAAAATGCCACATGCACTTTAAACAAAAATCACTCAGCTTTAAACAATAAGTGCATGTGGCATTTTTTTATTGGTTACCTGATGTATCTCTACATCAGGTTACCCGACCCAATAAAAATCCCATGCACCATGGGTCATCTGCCACTGGAGAGATTATTGGGTTCAAACATCGAACATAATTTATCATTTGGAACTTCACAGTACCGAGTAATACTGAACTTGATACTATAAAGTACTGAATTCAATATTACACAGTACCGAGCAATACTCAACTCGATATTGTGAAGTACCGAGTAGGAGGTGATGTGACACATTTTCATTAGACTCTGGCTATCATCTGGTATCTGAACCGGATAATTCCCCATGCTACTGGCTATGAAAATGGAAAAATAAATTTTCAGGTTCTTAGCATCTCATATTGTAAAACATGATGATCTCATGAAAGAAAAATGTTTATTTCCCAAGAACTTGAGTGCAACAGCAGTATGTTACAGAAGCATGAGAGTGTTGACTAAGAAAATTGATCAAATGATCCCTATTGGATCTCCTAAATGATCCGTTAAAGATACAGCTGAGAATGGAATTTATCATTCCTTTTTTTTTTTTTGGTTCTACTAGCTAGGGGTGTTAACATTTAGCTCCGCATGATTGCACACACCACTGTGCTCTTGCATTTTATACTTGGGAAAACCATTGTTCTTTTTACAACATAACAACAAAGATCATAATCATCGCTTTCCATGAAATAAGGCCGCCATGGAAATCATCTGAGCAGAGAACAAATGGAGAGAGGTACCTCGCAATAATTTCATGTCAGGATAGATAGGCGACTCCTAGGAGTCAAGCTTAACCCATTCATACCGACCAGGAATAGGGCAATCATTCACTGGATCAAAGTTATACCTGCAAATTAAGATCAAACATCAAATCAAATTCTGCAACTTAAATTTTGAGAAATTATTACGTGCGGTCACCCAACATCGTCCAAAGACGAATCAGGACATGATGTGTATGTACCGGATAACATGACGCATCCTGATTCGTCTCCAAAAGATCCATTGGCCGCACGAAATAAATTCTCCTGCACTAGGGGTTATATGTATGCACATATATGATTAATTGCAACACATAAGTGAAGAAACCATTGTAAGATTAGGAGATTTCATTCATACCACCAGATTCTCTTAATCTATATATGCATTCATTGATGTCTAAAATTACATCAAAAAATATATTTTTTAATATTAATAGCATATTTGATGTTATTTAGATATTAGATGATAATAAAAATTTTCTGTGTTGGATGTATAAATCCATAAAAATTCAGTGACATGCACGTAAATAAGATTTAGCAGGGCCATCATTCTGCAATATCCTTATCTACAAAACCCTAAACATCACAAAAAAGTTAACAAGGAAAGAGTGTATACTTCTCAATAAACGTCCTCTGTTGAAGGCGTTCAGACCCTGCAAAGAACTCTTCCATCTCATGTGTGCTAGGGATGTTTTGATGCGTTGTATTGAGCACTCTGCAGTTAAGAACAGCTGTGACAGTGGGCCTGGTGGTGGAACCAGGAGTACTTAAAGTTTCAGAATTCCTTATCAAACTGCAAGGAGTTGTTTCCCTAAGATTCAAAAAAGAGAAAGAAGCACATTTGAGCTAATAACTCTATATATAAAATATAAAAAAACTGTAATAGTAAAAAAAACATCAGAAAACGTCATGTATTCAGAAGGATAAGCATAACAAATTCTTGCTGCAAACAAAACTAGAGTTAAAGTGAATCGCCAAAGCAGCAACAAAACACATTCAAAACAGGTTCACGTGGGCAGGTCAGTATAAAAACAAGCCAAAAGAGTGCATTAAAAAGAGAACGCAGAGTAATTGATATTATGGAACAAAAAAAATAAAAATTTGACATGGGAGCAGCAAGCAATGGGCCAATACTCCATGCTCCATAAGTCTTCTCATGATGGTCAGGCAGAAGTAAGAGGAAGCCCACATACGATTATTTATTACATTTTGGTTGCATTTGGTCCAAATTCCTTAAATACCCAAAATAAAAATCAGCACAACAAATAAAAATTTTTAAGATGTATATATGATAGCCATAGCAATCATTCATCACAAAGCATATTGAGCAATAATTGAGTTTGCAATTGATGAAGAAAGAAAGACAAGCTAGCTTTAATCCTTCAACTTGTCGCTTGTCATAAGCCTTAAAAGCAAGCAGCCAAGTGAAGGCTCCTGGAACCCACTCCATTCAGATTTGCAATATGTGAAGGACCATGCAGAAAGTACAGCTTTTTTGGCTTTCCAGATCAGAACTTATGTACAAGCCACCCCCTTTTGTCAATGACCACAGAAAGAAACAAGCAATGGCAACTCTCCTATGAAAACCCCAAATTTCAAGAATATTTTTCTAAAAAACCTCAAGCAACGCAGCCAAATGCATGGCTATAAACTATATATGATCATAGGATATTCAAATAAACTTTTAAAATAGCAAGAATTTATGAATTATTGAACATGCATGTGAAAATTGGGAGATGCTGATAAGATATAGTTGCTAAATTTTCAAAAAAATTAGATATAAAAATGACCTCACAGGAAACACCCCTGGACCATCCATGTAAAGAGAAGCAAATCAGGGGTGGATCATTTAAAAAAAAACTGTAAAGGTCGTGCAAGTGGTATCCATAACAAGAAGAACCATGTGCCAGTCGAGTAAATAAAGTCCTGGAACAGCTTTGATTTTGTCTGTGACAGCAAGAAAGGTGTATGCTTTCTTTACTGGAAAAGGATTCAATGGCACAATAAAAACAATTAACGGAACAAAATGGCTTCGTAGATCACCTCTTCATCTAAAAAAGCTACCCCTTCAATTAATAGTAGGATGGATGGAAATTAGGTTTCTTACAGTGAAAAAGTAAATGTTTAAAGTCACCCTGGAGTTAAAAACCCTAACATAGATAAGGAATCAGTTCCAAACCCAAGTAAAACACTTAAAACGAGATCTATCAGCTGAGAAAGCCAACCATCTCAATTTTTCTACAAAATATATCAAAAATCAAGGAACCCGAAAAGAGTTTTGAATGCAGCAAACAAGACCAAAAAATCTAAAGAGCTAAAAAAAAAACCCTAGTTACACGAAACAGTAGGGGAAAGGAAAAAGGGGGAGAAAGAGAAAAAACCCACCTATCCCTAGCCTCGAGGTCCAAGACATTCTCCCCGAAAGAAACCTCCAAACCTCCGTCGGCCTCAGGTGAGGCCTCCGCCGCATCAAGAATTTTGGGCTCGAGAGAATCCTTAGTCTTTATCCCGACAGCAGGCTTCTCCAAACGGCGGCTACGGAGCTGAAGGTAGCAGGAGGACGAAGAAGAGGAATTGTCGGCCGCAGGGGAGAAGGATGACTTCTCGAGTCGCTGAAGTGCGAGAGTTCTAGCCCTTGTTCGTACGCCTATGGAGGACTGAGCAGAGACCTCCATGAGCGCCACCTCACCGTTGAGCTTCGCTTTCCTCATGTACTTGCCCATTGTTCCTCACTATTATCTCATACAAGGTAGAAAGAACTTCAGGAGGAAAAAGAAGCTAACGGCCAAAGAGACTCCAGGCCGAGCAAAGAGATGAGAGAATCGGAGAAAGGCAGCGATTCCTTCCGAGTAGAAGGAGAGGGAGAGCTGAGACGAGAGAAACACACGAGCTTGAGAGAGAGAGAGAGGAAGGAGAGAGGAAGGAGAATAGTACCGATGTAGATTGGGAAGACGAGAAGGGCAAATGCAGGGGAGGAGAGAGGTTTGTATGCAAGAGTATTCCTTACTCCTTAGACTTGTACAACCTAATAAATATAAATAAAAATTATTTAACGTTTATTTTCTTAAAAGATTTATTTAATAAATAAGAAGAATATTATATTTTTTATTTAAATAATTATTTTGAAAAATATAATTGGACGCGGTGGGAGAAAATCCGACGCTTCAACAGTTCAGGTGCGCCCGATAATTAATGTGGACATCATAAGATGGTCAAACAGAAGAGAATTACAACATACATTTGATATATATATATATATAAATAATTTGTTATTGCATAAAATGAAATTTTATGGGGCACATATTTTTTTTTCTCATACACATAATATTTTGAGGGGATTGCAACAAAAAAAAAAAAAAAAATCTATAATGCAAGTTGATGTATGTAGGAGTGTAATCGAGTCAAAATTATTAGGCGATGCTCTGACTCGTCTTTTGAACTCAACTCGAATTCGATCTTAAGCTCAATATTTGACAGTCGGTCTTCACTCGACTCATTTGCAACCCTAGTTGTATGTGCATCAGATTTTTTTAGAATAACATTAAAATAATATAGGTATTAAGTATAAGTATTTTTAGTTGATAATATTTATTTAACACTAAAAAAATATTATTTTAAGATATTATCTATTGTTTAAATTTTACAGAAGATCAGTATTAATTGGAATAAGTTCTTAGCAAATGTTGAACACAAATGACCCTTTCATCGAGGATAATTTGATATTGATCGATAAAAAAGTCGAATATATGTTTGGCAGAGTGTTCAAATAAGTTTAAATAAGGTGCTTATGTTATCATCAAAAAATTTATAAAATAGTTGAATCTTATTCGAACATTTAATCAAACCTACATGATCAATAAGATGATCGAACATAGTGTGTGTGAAGTTTTTGAAAACACTTAATCGAACATATGCTTGACCCTTTAACCAAAGATGATTTGAAAATTATGTTGATGAAATGGTTGAAAATATGAGTAAATAATTGCTCAAACAAGATTGAAAGAGAACCTTGTAGTCTTTATAGCTCCCACAACCCCAGATGATTAGAAAACTGCAATAAATTCTCCAAAAAAATAGAAGCTTTAGAAGACAAACAACTAATATAGTAAATATACATGGCTTTCAGCATTTTGTAACCACCCAGACAGAGAATCCGGTCAACCAACTCCCGCAGAAAGATTAATTTAAGAAAGTACTTCCAGTTTAAAACTTTGCCCGGTCTAGAGATACCAACATCAATCGTAAAATGCAAACCGACGTTCAAGTACCAAGCCATATTCCATCCATACCAATTCCTACCACAATAATCCTTCATATCAAACCACACAGAACCAAAACCAACGAGATACTTCCAGGTTTCATGAAACCAGTTACACTTCAGCCTCCAGCACATCACATAACAATGCAGGCAGCAGAAATAAGAACCCAACAAAGTCACCATTCTCCTGTAAACAACCTGCACCTTCCTAACATGATAGCAGACAATAGCATAAAAACAATATATAAACAACCTCCCTCTCTTCCAGATATACACCCACAGATAAAGAAAAACCAAAAAATAAACCTTCCCAGCAAAGAACTGTCCAAGCAAAGCCAGCACCAGCAAAAAGAGAACACCCCGGCCCAGCTCACAGATATCAACCAAAAACATAGTGTTAAATATGTCGAACTTAATTGAACTTACGCTCAGCTCTCATCAAATATAATTTTACATGATTAATGAAATGGTTGAGCATAGGAAATATTTAGGCTTTGTTTAAGACAGCTTTTTTACTGATTTCTATAACAGCTTTCTAGTACAAAAGTTTTTTGAAAGCCTCGAAAAATAGTTGTCCCAAATAAAGTCTTAATTGTTTAGACATGATTAAATAAATTGCTTATGAGACAAATGTTTTGCAGTGACTTGTTAAATTCTATAGATAGCAACACATACAATGTAATAAAAAAAAAGGTCAAATGAGATTCTTATAAGACAATCCAATCACAAAATTTATAATACAACAATTCTATAAATTGATTTGTACATGATATATATATTTAATAAAAGAAAGATAATATAATTTAATGATCCATATTACTTCTTCCCTTAATTTAGTGAAAGAATTAATGTACATGATATGTATATTTAATAAAGAATGAATGCAAAACAAATACAATAGAAATGTAATGTTCTATCATAGACCTATGGATTGACCTTGCTTTAAAATAAATCAACTCATAGACAATCACAATAGAATTGGATGTGATGATATATAAATTCTACTAGATTTTTTTAAAATAAGGTTTATAATGTGTTGAATTGCATACCCTCTAATCATTGTAAAAAAATGTAAAAGATTCATCACGCAATATATGTAAGAATTATTTAAATCATAAATATTTTTTATTAAATTATCAAAGAAATTATTTTATGAAAATCTTGTGAATGTCATTTGTGATGGCCCTGTTCTATATCTAAAAAAGTTTGAATGCCAGTAGTACCTATCTTTTCTCAAATAATCCCAATCGCTCAAGCAACCTAAAGGAGCACTTACAAAAAGAATTCATCATTGCTTTCAAGTTCTATGTCATGGTGCAAGAGAGATTATAGTCATATAACTTCATGTCCTTTATTAATACTGAGATCTTGCATACTATTAATTACCTTTATTTAAGTTCATTAAAAAGTATATGAACCTACATTATGTAATTAATAAGGCATTTATTCTTATTTCAAATGACAAATGGGATTATATTTTCAAGCCATTTGTAAGATTCCTTAGGCATTGCCTTATTGCACATCATGACTACTATTTTGCATTGTTGATCAAATATTTCATCTAACACAATTATTTTTGGTCCTGTATCTTCGGGTGGATCCATATTTGCTCCCTTTTAAGAAACATAAGAAATCAATATGCGACCAAAAAATATAGAAATTGAAGTCATTTTAGTGAATCAATTTCTTACACTTTCAATGAAGTTATTAGCTAGCCATGTTGTTGGAGTATGCAACTATTTAAACCACTTCATATTTTACTTCCCAATCTTATCTCCTCCCTAATGTTATCAACCTCACCTAAAAGCCAATCCTTGATGGTATACAACTGCTTCTGATTGATGGGGCAAAGTGGATTAATGACACACAAATTAATCACTTGTCTTCGTTTCCAATGTATTTTGGTATAACAACTCATATAATATGTACAGATAGTGTTACATCCACTATAACCTCCACTCCTCAGCCTCCTCCTCAGTGGTAGGAACATTTCTCTTTTTTACATAAAATTCCTCCACCTCCTCTTCCTTCTCCTACTCTTCCTCTTCTCCTCCTCCTCTTCCCTCCTTTCTTTAGATGCCTAATGTGTAGAAATATATATATAATTTTTTAGAGTATTGAACTTTTTCTCTAATCATATTTGATTATTCTCTAATTTTATTTGATTATTATGTAATCATATTTAACCACCTCTCAACTTTAAAATGATAATAGATAGTTGCTTCCTCCTCCCTTTTTGGGTTGGGTTAAATTGACTTGCATTGGTTATGCGTTCATTATATTCCCCATTCTCTTAGAAAAACATGGGTGCTTAGTTTCTTTTTTATAATCTTAATTATGATTGACTGAATATGAGCATAGATTATGGACTTATATAAACTCTTCTCATCAGCTCTATATAACAACTTACGATGGATAATGTTTTTTATTTTAATAACAAATATGAAAAATATTAATACCTTGTATACATCTCATTACAGCTCTTATTCCATAAATAAAAATAAGTCTTTATTCATAAGCCTTGATAGAAAATCCTTTTTTGTGAGCACCTTATTACTCTTCCTTCTTATTATTCTTAGCACACTATCCCTAAGGAACTTAGCATGTTTTACATACTATGAAATTGACTTCAAAAGCCAACTATATTAATGATACTACATTACTATTTATAATGTATTTATAACTGGGGGCTCTTCCTTACTGTATATGTCTTCCAGTGCACCATATCCCTCTTTAACCCTCATAGCTAGTGTCCTGTCTTATACATCATATCCTAAATGTATCCACAAAATGTAACCTCATCTTCAACAATGAGGATTATTTTATTTGAAGATATAGCTATAATTGTAATGGTTTAGGAGGACATCATAAAAAAAGAATAATACCCCAAGCTTTCATAAATCATCTTTTGTAATTTGTCTTATCATTACCTACATTGCCAACGGTGGAAATTTACCCCTTTTGTAACTTTTATTTCTTAAACTTGTTGTTCTAAGAGGTGTTTGCATTTTATTAACCACATAAACTCTTTCATTTTATGATATTCTCCATAGTAATGCTCTAATCCCTATTTATACTATAAAAATACCACCCTTATTAAAAGATAAACATGTTACTATGTCAAAAAATTAGGAGATTAATTACTTTGCTATCCTTTTTTCTTTGATTGGTGGGTGTTTTAGTTTTGTGCATTGGTCATTGCCTCCATTTCCAAGGAATCTCTCATCATTCTAATTTGAATTTTCTCCCTAGAATTAGAATCCCATTATGAAATAAAAGCGTACTGCTACATCTGTCATCTATTTTTGCACATCTATTAAAAGTCACTACTTGCCTTTCTCGACCTTATATTTATATGAAGTTTCCTAAGTTTGATTCATTAAATTCTTACTACTCTAAAATAGGGTTGAGTGTTAATGTATATCATAATAATAAAGAAGTTAGGATTAAAATATAACTTGGAGAAATTGCATTTAAGAGGAGATGTCCTCTTAATAAGGTGGAAGCCAGAAGACATTTTATTATAAAAACCTAGATTTACTCTGTCTTTATCCTTGAATTTTATAATTATGATAATTCCAATTGAGTGGCTAATTATGCTATAGATATACTCCTATGAATTCATAGAAGATCAAATTCTAATGGGATGGATGAATATTTATATTAAGACTTTGGAGATTCCCCATGTACTTATATCAAGCTTTGAAATGCTCCTATTATTTCTATATTGGTATGTATTGA